GTTTACTTTTGCTTTTTTGTTTTTTAATAATTCTTTTTCTTTGGGGGTTTATATTCTTTTTTGTAAACTTGATTAAGCTTTGATGAGTTTAGGAACAGAATTTGTTTATTAATTAAGGTTACGGGGATGTAGTAGTTGTTGTAGGTGTTTGGGGGCATGGATAAATTTGATGGTTTGGTAATGATGAAAATGTGTTGGGCAGTTAATTATTGCCTTGTGCTCAAGTTTTTTTAATGACATCTTTTGTTTGGTGTCACCATCTGACAGCAACTAATGAGGCTTCATTATTCATCAACAAACCTCCCAATCTCAAACTAGATGAAGAAGAGTAATTAGCACGACAAAATTTACTTTGTCATTCTCCTTTTCTACACACTTCTCATACAATGGTATACAATGGTCAGCAGAGGCAAAAGAATGTTTAGAGACAAATGTAAATAAAATGGTATTAAATATATATTATATAATATTAAAATATTAATTAGATAATGAAAATATCACATTTTATAAATTTGATCATTAGTAAATGAACAATGTAATATAACTTATTAACTACACATGAATCACTGTTATTGATTGCATAAATGTAATAGAATATTTAATTTTTATAATTTTTAGGCATCATAATTTAATTTAATTAGCTTGAAAAATACTAAATTATTATTATTATTATTATTATTATTATTATTATTATTATTATTTGGCTATGACATTAAAATCAATTAGTTATTTTCTTAGAAAAAAAATAAAAAAAAAAACCCTTAACGATATGCAACTAAAATTGATTTTATAATAATAGCTTGAAAAAAAAGTTTTTAAGAGACCGCAAACCCGTCTTCTTTCCCAGTCCCGAAGTGCTTAATCTGGGCTGTCGTATCTTAAGTTTACATTTGATAATTAAATCTTAAGAAACTAAAATATTGGGCATGAACTAAAACCTTTATCATGAATTATTTATTAAAGAAATCAAATAAATTTCGTTACATATACGAGAACTATCACAATATTTGATAGGTAAAAGATTAGTTTACATTTTTCTTGATCCACATTGGCATCCAAATAAACAATTTTCTTGATTTGCATTGGCAATCATTAATTAGGCCATGACATCTCATTATACTAGTAATCGATCATGTACACATTCACATATGAAAAAAAAAAAATTATAAGTTATATATGTCTACATAATATTCAAAAACAGAAGTTGTATAATAAGCATATCACATTTTATAAATTTTATTATAAGTAAGAATTGACGATATAAATATAAACTATATAATTACATATAACTCACTATATTGATTGAAATAATGTAACTTTATAATTTTGAGTGATTATGACCAATTGATTACATTAAAAAAATATTAAAATCATTACTATAACAATTGTGTGCCGAATTTTAAGGGATTTGGTTATGTCATAAATAAATAATTAATTAGTTTTAATGAAAAAAATATTTAATTAGCTGAAACAACAACAATAATAATAATTTTAAATCAAAAATTGGAAAAAGTTTTGCAATAATATTTTTAAGAAGTTTGTGATAAATAGTGTGACTTTATGATTTGTTAGTATTAATTATTATGCAATAAAATAAAAAAAGTATATAATTACTGCATTGAATTCTTTGCATACAATTGTATATGTAAATAATCCCTGTAAGTGGCCTAAGAATTTGAAATGAGGGTAAATCGTACGAAAAGTATTACAAAATTTATAGGACCAATTTGCAATTTTCTACTATTCTTATAAGATTGTATAAGTGCATCTACTTGTATATTCCTTATAAAGTTAACACAGACAGTTTCGTACTTAACAAATACTCACCAAAACCAATCATCATATTTGAAGGTATCTCAAACAAATTTACACACATTTGTGAATCTAAACAGCGATTTCTTCTGCTAAAATCCGAAGAACATGAAAGAGTTAGGGACTTGATACCTATACAAACCACTAGACAACACAGAGGACTTAATTAAACAGTATTTTCCCCTATATAATATATAATCACCAAGTACATAAATGCTGGAATTTTCAATTATACAAAATAAGTGATCTCCGAATATCGCTGACAAGCTCTACAAATCCATTTTCGACAAACCTGGAAAAATTTGTCTCAAACGGTGAGAACTCAAAAGAGAGAACAACAATGATCAACGTAATAAGTAAGTTGGTGCAAAATTACCATTTGCCCCCAAACTGCCGAGTGAAGAGTTAGAATCGAATTCCGGCTGGAAGATACTTTGCAGCTCATTGTTCCATAAGTTCTGGAAAGAAATTAATGCGTACCTTGTTTCAGAGTTTCAACAAGAAAATACATTTTTTTTTTAAAAAAAAAAAAAGGCATTTTGATTTTGATATTTGTTTAGGATTAGTTTGATTTACTGGGGGTAAGGGATGATGATAAGGCTGAGCTATCCCACTGTGAAGTCCATTAAAAGCATGAGATGAGCCCAAAACTGGTCCTAATCCAGCCTGTGAATGTAGAAGCTAATCGACACAAATTTACAAAGGATGTCAAAAGATGGTGATTAGAAAAAAAAATAAAATAAAAAAAAGTTAAACTTCAAACAAGTTTATGTTTGTCGATATTATCTTACATCTTTAGTCAAAACACGTTCGATGTCCACATTCAGCTCTGGATTTACTGTTGCCAGCTTCATCGACAAAAACTGCAGTTTCAAAAGTGAAATCGTCTGATGTGGGATAGGATAGTTATGAGAAATATATAGAAATTGAAGGGATCACATTAATGAATGAACTAAACACAGAATTCTATTATATTACATTTTAGTAACTAGCCAAGATGAAGTAATTTCTTCAAGTAATTGGTATAATAAGTATAAAAATACCTCGACTTGCTGTTGAAGTGACTGCACATAGTTGATAATCTCATCAAGCATCACTGCTTTGCCAGTAATCTTGAAATCAAAGCGCATATCAGGACTCGGTATATATATTATATATATATTATCAGATCAAATTGTTACAAATGATAAATAAAGAAAAAATGACAAAAATAAAACCAAAGGCCTTAATTCACCTATTTACCTTACTACATCCAGGGACCAGTTCTTGCAGCAATTTCATCCTCTCACTAATCTTTTCTCTCCTCAGCTACACACACCAAATTACATTTTTAACCATTTTCATGATCCCCAAACAGAGCTTTTTTTTTTATTTTTTTTTTTATTTTTTTGCATTTTGAAATAAAATGAGAAGATAATTAATTACCCTTTCTGCAAGGCTGTGACTGTTAGTGGCCTGGCCCCTTTTGGCTCTCACAAGAATATAATTCTCTTTAGAAGGCTCTGCACTATTGGTATCGGCCTTCGTTTTGCTAGCCACTTGCTTACCGCGCAAATTTTTATCATCTTCTTTAGGAAATTCACAAGTTTCCACATTTTGATCATTCCTCTGTTTCAGTTCAACATTCTATGGATCAATTAGAAACAAACCCAAATGTCATTAGTTAGTAAAACTAGCATCATCTAAAAAAAACAGTAGTTTCATAAGCATATATGAAATTCTTGGTAATTAAGCCAAAACTTGTAAAAGTATCATAGATAAGTTGTGTCACCTCTCTTTTCCTCTTGGCATTTGGCAAAGATCCTAAAGCCCCATCTTCTGAATTCTCATGAGAAACCATCCTTGAGAAAGTCTCACTTCCAAAATTTCTAACCAAATGTGAGGAGTTTCCCATTGTGTGATTATCAGACATAACTCCATATTGTGGATTATTAGCAAACTCATTTTGATGAACCAGAGAACAATTTTCAAGAAAATTTGGACCCCAACCACAGCTATAAAAAGGGTCCACCGAGCAAATTGACATGTCTTCAACATTTTCAGGTATTGAACCAATTTCTTCAGACCCCATATTGAAATTATAATAAAATAAGTAAATAAGACTAAACCCCAGAATTTAGATGAACTCTGTTTTAAACTGAAGCAGAAAAGGTGGGCTTTGACCAAAAATTAAATGGTAAATTTCTTGCAGGGCTCAACAAGGCACAAACAAAACCCCAGGCAGCTTTTATAGCTATAAGGGATGGGGAACTAAATAAAGGTAAAGAGAATTCTTATTGTAAACACAAAAGGAAAAAGGTAAAGAAAAGAATTCCAATTCACCAGGAATAAAATTTAACCAATCTCCTCTTTCAAGAACCCTAGGATCAATTTTAAGAAAAAGTGAACCCCTTAGGACAAGAAAGTGAGAATCTTTTCAGAAAATTAAAGTAGAGAGAGCATAGAGAAATTGAAGGACATTGGCTAGGTAACAACAGCTCACCACCTAACTGATGAAAAGAAAGGAGATTCCCTTTTTCTTTATCTCTCTCTCTCTCTTTTACCAGTAAATAATTACACACTCTTAAGTTCAACAATCACAAACTAAATCTCTGGAATGATTAACCTTTAACTAAGGGGCAATTAAAAAAGTAAGAACTCTAATTCTCATTACTAAACAAAATGATAACTTCAGATGCTAGATTTCAGGCTTTGACTCTGAATTACAAAACCCCACATGANAAAAAGACATAAATAAGAAAGATTTCCAACTGGAAAACTTGCAGAAACTAAATGTGGGCATCAAGTTTTCCCACTTAATAAATATCATGGAAAAATAATGTGAATTCGTTAGGGGTATGAATGAGACCATTTAAGGAGCAATCAAATGTATAAAAAATTGGGATGTAAGAAAAAAATAAAAGTAATAACAAATAAAAAGAAAAAGAAAAGGTACTCTTTTACCTGCCCAAATTAACAGATAACATGTAGAGACATGATTTTAAAAGACAGACTAACTAATGCCAACTGCTCTTGCAGGTTAAATTATTACATAACCTAATCTTTTACACCTTTTATATTCATCACTTAATTTCAAAGACATTATAATAAATTTAATTTCATGACCTAAGTTTTCTTTTGCCTTTTTTCACCTTTCGTGACCTCATCATCATTGATAGAAGAGGTTCTTCTCTTGAACCCCAAGCCTTGTTGACATACTTTTTCTGTGTTTATTTGTTTTTTTACTGACACATTTGCCAACTATTCTTTGATACTCCTCTTTGCTGTTCCACACCATTCTTTGTTTAAATACCTAACCATCATGTTGTGTACCGTTGTTGTATTATATACGCTTAGTCTAAATTTCATGATGTAATAATTTCAGAACAAGTAATCTATAAAACTGTACAATAGCTCGACGTCTAGAAGGCTATATGTGTATTATGTAATATTAGCACACATCTTAGTACTTATTTATAATAATTATAATTGAGTCTCACATACTCGCTTTACGTATGTGGACTCACTAGAACAATTTCATGGCTTAGGTACCCTTAAGACAGCTTAATACATCATTAATTAAAATTAAGAACAATAATAAAAATTAAGAATTACTTGCCGCTGCGAAGAAAGATAGGGAGATAATGGAGAAATAAATTATTTTTCTTATTGATTTTAGTGAAAGTGGATCTACCCCTTCATTTTATTAGGTTTTAAAAGAAAAAACTAAACACTTATTTGTATTTTTTAGTACTCTTGTAGTTAATTAATTTCTTTTGATGATCTAAAAACTAATATCATATATTTTAATATGTGGGCGATTGATAACTTAAATTGTATGGTTCTTGAAAGTATGGTATATTACATAAAGTATTTTATACACTAATTATAATATAATTATTATATCAAATTATGAAGAAATATTTTTTAAAAATGCCTTGATAAAAAAGTACATGTGAAAATATCTGATAAGTTAAGTTCGGTCTAAATATATCTCTAGTGAATTCTAATACTTTTGGGCTGAAAGAAAATGAAATAAAAAATTCAAAGATGTTATTATAGAGCGATGTCATGATATGAAATTTCATAAGAATGACTATAAAGCTGTATTTTTTTATTTATATTTTTTTATTATGTATTATATACTTTTTTTTTTAAAATTATGCCCCCACTCACTTTATGACCTAGATCCGCCCCTAACTAGAACCAATTCATATATATATAAACGAAATAACTATTTTCACTCATTCTTAGATAAAAGTTTTTCATATCACTAGATAATAAGTTAATTTTTTCATCTCAAAAAGTGCGAAAGTATTATGCGGTAATTATGCGACAATTGTGCGAAAGTTAAAAACTCGAAGGCACTCGCATAACCCTTCACACTTTCTAATGTGAATATGTTACTCTTATGAGACTGATAAGCGACAGTTATGCGACTGATATGATGCAAACCATTTTAATAACCTTCACATTTTCGGAAGTGAAAAAGTTAGATTGTTATTTAGTGGAGTAAAAAGTTTAATGTAATCTTCAAATTGGATATAAAATAAATTTGTCTATATATAAATATATATATATATATATTATTTTTTTTCTTCGGAATATATTTATATACCTGCCCTTCGCAATATATTTATATACCTGAACACGTACCTATTGGCAAATAAAATATTGGAGTTGATGGAAAAAAAAAATACGAGGCTGGGGCAATTATTGCTAGTCAAACCATATATCTATGGTCAACGAATGTACTTGTAAGGTTGTGATCTTGCTGGAAAATTCTTAATTTAGCTGTCAAAATATTCTAATTGAATTTGTCCTAATTATGTATATCAGCTCAATGTTTCAAGGGTGTTTTAAAATTTCGTGGTTCATTTTTAAACTGATTTGTTGCCTTCATACATTATATATTCTTGGGATGATCTAATGTACAAAAGCTCTGATCACTTTACAAAAATTAATTTTTAAAATTGAAATTAGGGCAGTATTGAATTTGAAAATGATAAACTTGGTGAGGAGTGAGTATGAATTAATTTATTAAACTTTTCCACTCTTGTTTAATATATATTTCTAATTTTGATACAGAGAAAATATAGTTTATAATGAATCCTGCAAAGGAGAAAAGAAAAGGCAAGTCATGTAAAGCACAAGGTGCAATAGTATACTGTATAAATAGTATAGTATTGTGATGGACTATGATTAACACAGCACACACACTACTTCATTATGAGCGTGTGAGAGTCTACAATAATTTGTTTGCTGATTCGAAATCTGCATAGAGAAATTCGATCTATCTGTCTAGACACATATTTAGCTTAATGTGTACAGAATTAAAAAAAAAATAGTCAAAAACTTAATATTATTTTAGCAAAGGAAATGTACCTTTTTTTTATATAATATTTTGCTTTTCTTTTACTTATTTATCCCTAAATGCCTTGTAGCTACACACATCTGTCACTCGATTATCAGAATTAATTTTGAAAAAGTTGTTTGAGTTAAGTTTGGATGATATTTTGAGATTGTATTAAAATAATATTTAAAATATAATAATTAACGTTAATTTGATATAAAAGTATGAGGGCAAAATTGCATTTTATGCACTGTAACTAGGTATGTGTGGCAGATGTGGACAACTTTTTAGTTTGGTAAAAATGTCCTGAAACTTGTTAAAATGTGAAATTTGTGCCCAAATTTACCTACATGTTATTGAAAATCACCAGTAAATCACCTGTAGGTGCTGACTCATAAACCGAGTAGCTTTCACATGTAGCTTTCATAAACCGAGTTTGGGGTTGTTGAGTGGGGATGTCTTGTGTGAAAATTGTTGGGTTCAAAGAGCTTGCTTGTGGTTGAGGGAGTTGTTAACACCTACTTGCTGAAATAATAAATTATCAAGTTAGTAAAATAACAATACTCGCGTATTACATGGGTGTTTGCTAAAAAAATTATATTTTAAATTAAAATAAAATAATATTTTTTATAAAACTATATTTTGTTTATATTATATAACTAATTTGTAGTTAAATTAATTAAAAGAATTTGTTTCCAATTAGTACAACGTCCGTGAACTACACGAGTGTTTCTTAAAAAACTAATTGTCCAACAAAATTGAAAAAGAATTGAAATTCTTAGTAGGAAGTAAAAAACTATAAGTAACTATTAAAAAATATTCTTTTAATATTATTTTGAATTCTAAATTTTTTTATGAAGTATTATTCGTTCTATTTCATATATAATTATTTTTATTAAAATTAAATAGAATAATTAATTTACAGTAGTTAATATAACACTCATGAACAACACGAGAGCTTGAAAATGAAGTATTTTATCAAAATAAAGAAGTGAAGAAATTAACATTTCTAATTATAAAAAATAAATATATAATTAATNCTTTATAATATTCGATATTTTAAATATAATGTATGTGAGATTAATTATATGAAATATAATAATTATTTTTTTATTCTAATTATAATGTCTCTATGTATTCTTTATTTAATTAAGTTGAGACATAAACTTTTAGAATATTCTTTTATGTTAATTTAATGTCCATACTTCATACTTAGTTTACATATTTTTTTCCAAGTAAAATAATAATTTATGGTATGTTAATACACATAAATTTGTATTACTTTATAGGATAACTTATAATTTGATTAGATATTTTTAAGTTAAGTTTGATAAATAAATTTAAATTTTATTTTAAGGATATATATATTTATCATTGTCTTGTATTATATATATACTATGGATGTCGAATCAAAGATCGTTAAAAGATAAATAATTTAACATATGATATATGAAAAATAAACAAACAAAAAATATTACAAATTTTTAACAATAAGAAGAAGAAACATTTATAATAATTGATGTATGAATTAAATAAGAAAAGGAAATGTAATATATTGTAATGTAAGAAAAAGAAACATAAAATAGTTATGGTAACTAATTGTTGAAGAAAAGAATGAAGATATCAATAATGGATTTTGGTACGACAAGACCCTCGACCAGCTGAAACCGGCTTACTTGCAAACTCCCTCGCCGTTGAACGCCTTCGACCTCCAAAACTCTCACACCGGGAGTTTTCCGGTGAAAACTCCAGTGCTTAAATAAGTATGCGTAGAAAATGATTTGCAGAATTTATAAAGTCTATAGAACGTAATGAGGTAAAATCGCACATCTCACCCCTATTTATAGAGGTGAGGTACCTGCTTCTAGAAGGTTATTCAGATACGATGAGTTAGCTGCCCCATAGTGCGATCCTTTTGTCTGAATGTGTCAGAGACGGTTATGAGGCACAGACCAATGATGTGGCGCCACGTGGTTTTACCCATGTGGGGGCTTAATTCCCCTAAGATTCCTTGTTATTCTTCAATTCTTTGTATTAGACCTGCTCGATGGTACGACCAGCTCTGAATTGGTAAGGTAAAGCGCTGCTGCTCCAAGTCTGAGTTCTGGTAGAGCGGACGGCCATTTATCACTACAGGTCGAGTTTCAACCAGGTCATTTTGTTCTGATTCCGCTCAACCAAGCGGTTTGCTTGGCCTACTCGACCGATTTATTCATTTAGGTATGATATACCATATCATGAAAAATATAGACATTAAATGAAATTCAAGCCTAATTTTTTTTCTACGAAAATAATTAATTTATATCCAAGCTTGATTCCGAAGTATGACTTTTTGCCACATAGGATTCCGAAGCGTGAGAGTTGCCACTTAAGCTCAACGCATTCTGAAATTATATATAGGGGGATATA